GGATAGCCGGTTGCTGTATAAGCAGCACAGAATGAAAATAGCTCAGATTTTTCAATATTCTGAACAAAAAGAAGCAATTGCCCAGCCAATACACCAGACAACAGTTATCAATAAAATGTTTTTAAAGCAGAAACAACGATAGCCGGTTGCTGAACGAGTAACAGAGATTGTTCCGAACAAATATTTTTTTCAAAGCATTTTCTTTTTTAGTGCGTAGTGATTCGATAACTATAAAAACAATTAGAAATTTAGCGAATTAGCCATACTCGACAATATTTGTCTTCAAAGAATGAACGACAATCAAAAAACGAAAGAACAATGACAATTTTTTTTCTAATTTTTTGCACAATAAATTTTTATAGTTTTTAGAAAACCTTTCGTGCCAAGGAAACACTGGAATTAAATCCCATATTTATTTCTCCTTATTGAAAAATTGCCCAGCCAATACAATTTTTTTGTTTGAAAACAGATGTAATCGAGAATGAAAAACGCCCCTGAGATAAGATATCTTCGGGCAAAAAAGCATTCCATAGAAATACATGACAAACCACATGTCAAAATCAGATAGCCGCCGTCAAATTAGACTTTTGCAAAAAACCAGATGCAAACAGCTAACGAGGATAGCCGGTTGCTGTATAAGCAGCACAGAATGAAAATAGCTCAGATTTTTCAATATTCTGAACAAAAAGAAGCAATTGCCCAGCCAATACACCAGACAACAGTTATCAATAAAATGTTTTTAAAGCAGAAACAACGATAGCCGGTTGCTGAACGAGTAACAGAGATTGTTCCGAACAAATATTTTTTTTCAAAGCATTTTCTTTTTTAGTGCGTAGTGATTCGATAACTATAAAAACAATTAGAAACTTAGCGAATTAGACATACTCGACAATATTTGTCTTCAAAGAATGAACGACAATCAAAAAACGAAAGAACAATGACAATTTTTTTTCTAATTTTTTGCACAATAAATTTTTATAGTTTTTAGAAAACCTTTCGTGCCAAGGAAACACTGGAATTAAATCCCATATTTATTTCTCCTTTTGAAAAATTAGGTTTTTAAGCGTAAAAACGTAAATAAAAGAAAAATTCATAAAACGATCGTTACTCGATCGCTTTACTCCTCAAATTTAAACCAAAACTCAAAAAAGTTGAAATTTTTTAAGGTCACACGAATCAAATGGCTTTGTTATAATACATCACTTGAACCAGTCAGATAATTACTTGTGTTAACTGATTTTGCGTGAAAAATTTAGAAGAAGAAAAAAAAGGAAAAAACTAAAAAACACCCGAATACAAAGTTCCTCCTCAATTTCAATGATCGGAACAATAATATCCTCAAACAGACGGATAATACTTGAACATCACTTAAGCCAACTTCAGCCAGCAATATTTGCCGCTTCCAAGTTATTTCTTAAGATACGATTAAGCGCGATTTCGAAGTAATCTCACTCTAACCGGTTTACTCGTGACTTTTAACCGACTAACATAAATGAATTTTGTAGAAATCATAGGCTCAAAAATCAGGACAATTTTTATTGCAATGGTAATAGAAGTCAAAAACCTTCAAAACAAAAGAAGCATTTGGGCTCAAGTCCATCCATTTTCTGATAACCAATATATGAAAACGAATAAAAAAAAACATTTTGGTCAAAAAATGCAGATAAGATAATTCCTAAATGTACTCATAACTTTTCATTGAATCTTGCAACCAAACAATCTCCATATCCATATCCAATAAGAACAATCAGGGATAAAGGCCCTATCCACTATAGTATAAGATCAAATGAAAACAAAAAAAGATAAACCAAATTTCAACACAGAGGCGAAGTTGTACTTCGCATACACAAGCAAAAAAAATGACCGAGAACGCTACTGGGAAAACTGAATGAGTAAACTTGGAGTCTACAAAATTTTTCAAGTGACGCAAGCAATTTATTAGTCTACATAACTGCTAAGTGACGCAAGCCAATTATGACGCATTAGCAGTACCAGTCAGTTTGAAAAAAAAATGTACCAACTAACACGCCTCAATTTAGAGAGCGGACGCATTTTAACTAGAATACGAAAAAGTTCATTAAAAACATCCGACCTTGCCCCGATTCGAACCCTCTTATTTTGTTGCGGGTCTCCTTCCCTACCTCTACGCTACAGATTTGTAATATAATAGCATGTCTTAATATCCTTCGCATTGGCTGTACTTAATGGCTGGATCAAAATGAACACTTTCAAAATCAACTTATTTTGTCGCAACAATTGCATCGCAACAATATTTGCGACTTAGCTTGGAAAAAGGAGAATTCATAAAATAACATAAGCTATGCTTGTGTAAACACATAAATGCGAAAATTACAATCAATTGCCACAAAAAGAATTTGCAGAAAATCTGAAACAACTATGAAAGTCTATGAAAATAACGCAATTACATCAAGATTACACCTGAATTGATTTCAAAAAAAATGCTTAGACCTAAGACACACCAACCTAATTGAAACTAAAACTAGTTTCACGCTTTTTAGAACAACAAAAAAATCAGAAACCATGCATCCGAAAAAAACTGAAAATTTATTTGCGGAAAAAATTTTAGCAGAAAAATCCGAAAAAAAAACCGAAAAATTTATTTGCGAAACAAAATTTTAGCAGAAAAATCCAAAAAAGTTTTATTTCTAAGAGAAAGTTTTGGCGCGTATAAAAACGAGAAAACCATGAACTATATTTACCCTCATGAGTATAAAGAAAAAAGTATCAAAAAATCTACCTAAAGTTAACAGAAATAATTACCCGGCAAGTAAGCCGACAAAACGTGGGTCGAAATTAATCAAGCCAACAAAAAATTAACTTACATCTTGAAATCTTTTTCAGCTGTAATGCAATTATCACTTTAGTCAGAACTAAGAATAGCAAATGATGTCAAAGAGCATCAGTCCAACTTACGAAATCAGCTCAATGTTTGCTTCAAGAAAAACTAGAGTTGTTGCCATTCATAGGCTCAAAAATCATAGGCTCAAAAATCAGGACAATTTTTATTGCAATGGTAATAGAAGTCAAAAACCTTCAAAACAAAAGAAGCATTTGGGCTCAAGTCCATCCATTTTCTGATAACCAATATATGAAAACGAATAAAAAAAAACATTTTGGTCAAAAAATGCAGATAAGATAATTCCTAAATGTACTCATAACTTTTCATTGAATCTTGCAACCAAACAATCTCCATATCCATATCCAATAAGAACAATCAGGGATAAAGGCCCTATCCACTATAGTATAAGATCAAATGAAAACAAAAAAAGATAAACCAAATTTCAACACAGAGGCGAAGTTGTACTTCGCATACACAAGCAAAAAAAATGACCGAGAACGCTACTGGGAAAACTGAATGAGTAAACTTGGAGTCTACAAAATTTTTCAAGTGACGCAAGCAATTTATTAGTCTACATAACTGCTAAGTGACGCAAGCCAATTATGACGCATTAGCAGTACCAGTCAGTTTGAAAAAAAAATGTACCAACTAACACGCCTCAATTTAGAGAGCGGACGCATTTTAACTAGAATACGAAAAAGTTCATTAAAAACATCCGACCTTGCCCCGATTCGAACCCTCTTATTTTGTTGCGGGTCTCCTTCCCTACCTCTACGCTACAGATTTGTAATATAATAGCATGTCTTAATATCCTTCGCATTGGCTGTACTTAATGGCTGGATCAAAATGAACACTTTCAAAATCAACTTATTTTGTCGCAACAATTGCATCGCAACAATATTTGCGACTTAGCTTGGAAAAAGGAGAATTCATAAAATAACATAAGCTATGCTTGTGTAAACACATAATTGCGAAAATTACAAACAATTGCCACAAAAAGAATTTGCAGAAAATCTGAAACAACTATGAAAGTCTATGAAAATAACGCAATTACATCAAGATTACACCTGAATTGATTTCAAAAAAAATGCTTAGACCTAAGACACACCAACCTAATTGAAACTAAAACTAGTTTCACGCTTTTTTAGAACAACAAAAAAATCAGAAACCATGCATCCGAAAAAAACTGAAAATTTATTTGCGGAAAAAATTTTAGCAGAAAAATCCGAAAAATTTATTTGCGAAACAAAATTTTAGCAGAAAAATCCAAAAAAGTTTTATTTCTAAGAGAAAGTTTTGGCGCGTATAAAAACCAGAAAACCATGAACTATATTTACCCTCATGAGTATAAAGAAAAAAGTATCAAAAAATCTACCTAAAGTTAACAGAAATAATTACCCGGCAAGTAAGCCGACAAAACGTGGGTCGAAATTAATCAAGCCAACAAAAAATTAACTTACATCTTGAAATCTTTTTCAGCTGTAATGCAATTATCACTTTAGTCAGAACTAAGAATGGCAAATGATGTCAAAGAGCATCAGTCCAACTTACGAAATCAGCTCAATGTTTGCTTCAAGAAAAACTAGAGTTGTTGCCATTAACAGTCTACGCTCATATAAGAGCCCTTCACTTTGAGATCTGTCTAGATTTGTCATCGCCAATGTTATCGCTCAAAAACCGCTGGCTTAATCGACAAACTGTTAGGAAATTGCATCACGCTTAAGCACCCCTTTGGAGCAGTATGGTAAGACCTAATTAGATCAATCATAGATTCATTTTACGCCGTGTTGCAAAACAGACGCTAACGGAGGACACGGTCAAAAAACAAAATTTTCGAACCCTTATTGAATGCACGATTCATCAAAACAATTTTGCCATCACCTGAAGACATCAGTCCTCGGCCGAATTTCTGGTCTCAAGAGCGCATACCAATGTGCCACTTTTTCAACATTAGTCTTAAAAAATTGGCCGAAAATTTAAATTTGCCCAAGAACGAATGACGATGGACTTGAAACTCTTATAACAGAATCTGCGACATTTTACGTGGGAAAAGTGGCCTCGATTTTAACTAATAATCTGACAATAGTGTATAAATTTTGAATGCAATTGGAAAAGACACTGTCCGCTCTCTCTTACTCACCCACTTCCAAGTTTCAACAAGTTTTCGTTTCTCTGAAGAGGATACTTGTCACCCAATTCGGCCACAAAGCACTGCGTCAGATATGAATTGTGGTATTTAATCGGCATCTCTTCCAACACCTCTTCGTAATTCAGCTTCATTTTTTGCAATCTGTAAAGCCATATGAATGTTTAAGCATTACGCATTGTTGTTTAATAACTTTCTCACATTTCTCAATCACTAGAAATAATCCTAAATCAAGCTGCATATTGTATTATAATATTCTTCCTGTAATAAAAATTTGGTTAAAATATGACTTTCATACACAGAATCACCAAACAGAAAAAATCATTTGAGTCACTCACGTCTCATTTGTGATTTCAGAATCACCGTAGTTCTTGAAGAACTTTGATTTGAGACGATATGCTTTCAGTCCCACGGCACCATTTGTGGTTTTCATGGGATCTAATAACAAACAAAAAAATAGAAACCACGGAATTGCTGAAAAATTCAAGTTTTTTATGTGTTTAAGCCAGAGCATAGACTAATTATCTCAACATTAATAAGTTTTTCTAGATGAAGGCATTTGAAATTTTTGGAAAACCCTTGGAGGTTAGAACGATCCTGAGGTCCAATAGGGTCGTCATGAAACTTAAACTAGCTTCGCTTGCTCAAACCAAAGTACAAACCGTAAATCAGACAAACTGACTCTTCGACGCTTGTCTGATAAACATACATGTCTTCAATTAGCTCTCGGGTTATGAAAAATCCATAAACTGAAGACTGGTAAAATCCAACAGTAAGCTGATCGACATTAATTTTCCTGAGTTTCTTTATCATTTCTCTCTGGTACTCTGAAACATCTGCATCTTCGTCTGCTGGAAACGGAAAGCAATTAGTGATTTCGAGAGTTTCGTTATCCATCAAACCAAGGAGTACGCCTTGAACAGGGGTGGCAGACGTGAGTCCACCAGATTGCTCAAAATGCTTGATGATTTTTAAAGCGACCAATCCATCGATCTGCACAACCCGAAATAATCCAGTAGTGCTCTTTTGCGACGTCACCGATGTTGATGAAACACGGTGAGCCGCTGACATGCTTCTCTGGAATAACAACAAAAATGAATTAGATGGGCCATTCCGCGGATCATTTGACAGCCCCACCCCCCACCGTAGCCCCCCCCCCTTACCGAATGAGTTATTCCCGAGGTAAAAACGACAAAAAGAACAAGAAAGCATACTAATTGTTGCCTATTAATAAGCCATTCCGCCGGATTGGTACAGCGTGACCTTCCCGCACAACACGTGTAACAGTCGCCTACTTCGGTCACATATGAGGTTAAAGAAAAATAGGCCCTATAACCATTGGCTCAAGAGTCAGGGACACTATCTCTTGTGTTTTTCTACCTCGAACGGTCGGAGCCAATTCGGTTCGCTTGCGACATGAGACTAAAAACCCGGCACAGTTACTTTTTGTTAGACAGTGGAACTTAGATCCATTTCAGATGGATCAACCTAAAGCTCGCCTTATCTCAACATAACAACACAACTTTTAGCCTAATTGTTGTGATAAACTTATTAAATAGATTTGTTGTGTTTGATGTTTGTGCCTGTATGTGGAGCGCCCTCTGAGGGATTTTAGAGACAGGTCTGTCAAGTGGCTTTCTGTGGGGAGGTGGGGAACTGCAACTGGCTTGAGAAGTCTGGTGGTGCGCCGCTGGACCTGCTGAGCTCGGGTGAGATTGTTCCTTGTTTTTGATTTTTAACCTTTATGCTGCCTTTTAACCTTTTAATTTAATTTAGTTGTCTTTTTTTTTATTTGCTGATTTGTAAAATTCCCACTAACCGCTTATCATGGGTTAGTTCAGTCCCCTAAAGTCCAGTCAAAATCCTTTTTTTTTTACCTTTATGCTGCGTCAAGATGAGGAAAAACAACAAAGAGTGTACAAGCAAAGATTGCTTAAAACCTTCAGGACTGATAAATTGGATTAGATGTGATTGTTGTTCTAGTTGGTATCATATCAGTTGTGTAAATATCTCTCTTAGCGACTCTAAGAAAACCCAATGGTTTCAGTGTCCTTTATGCGTTGATGTAAAATCTGTTAATAAAGCAACAATAGGTAATGATTTAGTGCTAGACAATTATGTTAATACAGCCATCTCAAATGTCCGAGTACTCAAGAGAGTACCAAAAGACTCGCGTGTTCCCTTGGCGGAAAGTCTGTCGGACAAAATAAATGACATCGTCTACAATGTAGAAGATGTTACAAAATGGCTAATTTTTTTAACGTCGTTCTTGTTTTTTTTGGAGCAACCGAAAAGAAGTGGACGCAAACAGACCACAAGCATGAGCTCTTTGATAAATAAAAAAATTCGAGCAAATGACGTGTCACTTCCAAAACCCCATCCCCAAGTTTCAAGCCCGCCTCTGAGTGACCTCGAGCAGAGAATAAAGTTAATAAGTAGTAAGCTCGATGAAGGAAATGTAAAGGGAGGAATAAGGCTTGCTGCTTCGGATGACAAAATAGCTCCTTTTTCAACTGATAACTATCAAAAATTGTTATCTAAGCACCCGCAGCGAGCCAAATTTGCAGCTCCAAATCCAGAAAAGTTGGATAGTTTTTTCGTAACCGATTTCGACCTATACAAAGCGATAATGTCCTTTCCAAACGGATCAGCAGCAGGTCCTGAAAAAATATTTCCTCAAATTTTTAAAGATCTTGTTAGTAAGTCGAATGGCAGTGCAGGACTTAATTTTCTGAAATCGCTTACTAAGCTGATAAACCTCATTGGAGATGGCAAAATACCGGAACCACTAAGACCTTTCTTTTTTGGCGCAAAGCTTATCGCCCTCATAAAAATAGACGGAGGGTTGAGACCGATTGCCATAGGCAACACGCTGAGACGTATCGCGTCTAAATGCGCTGGAAGCAAGGCCCTCTCCGAGCGACAAAATTTTTTCGGAAACGTACAGGTAGGATGCGGTACCAAACGAGGAGCAGAAATAGCTGCGCACTCGTTTCGAAACCTAATTGAACGCGACGACAATCCAAAATGTACTGTTCTTTTAAAACTAGATTTTAAGAATGCCTTTAACTCTTTAAACAGAGAAACAATGCTGAATCATGTTTTTTCAAATCGCCCCGAATTATATAATTACACCCATTGCGCGTATGCTAAACCTAGTTACCTTTTTTACGGAAGCTCTGTCATAATGTCAGAAGACGGAACTCAGCAAGGTGATCCTGAAGCCCCACCCCTTTTTGCGGAAACAATTCATACACTAGTCAAACAGTTGGAGTCCAAAATTAACATCTGGTACTTAGATGATGGGAACGACGACTATAAGGTAGTACTCCGGGACCTTAAAAACATTCTGAAATCGGAACAAATTTACGGCCTGCGCTTAAACACTGAGAAGTGTGAACTTTGTTTTTTGGGACCGACTACTAGTACACAGTATAATTCAATTTTAACACAATTTCGAAAAATATGCCCCAAAATAAAAATAAAAACAAAAGAAGAACTCCTCATTTTAGGATCTCCAATCGGCGAACTTTGCCGAAAAGAATTGCTCGACGAAAAAATTAGGGAGCTTGAAAAAATCTCGGATGTCATTGACAAACTAGACGCCCATTATGGTTTTTACCTCCTGAAAAATTGCTTTAGCATGCCAAAACTCCTATATTTTTTGCGTACGAGCCCTTGTTTTTTGCAAAATGATTTTTTGGAACGCTACGATAAATTACTAAGAAATTCGTTATGCAAGGTCACTAACGTGAAAATGGATGATAACCAGTTTTTACAAGCAGTTCTCCCGGCAGCCAAAGGTGGCTTGGGCGTTTCTTCCGCTCGTCTACTCGCTTTACCCGCTTTCTTAGCCTCGGCAGTAGGAGCGAAAGATGCCTTGAGCGAAATCTTTGGTTTGGAGCATGTGGATGGAACCTATGATGATGCGCTTAAACGGTGGTTTGACCTTGGAAAAATTGAAATGGCTCCGGAAAATGAAATCCAAAAAAATTGGACGGAGCCAATTTTTGACAGCGAAATTGCAGACTTGATTTTACGACTCGAACCAACGGACGTGAAAAGGTTCAACGCGTTCCAAGATAGATTTGGATCCCAATGGTTGAACGTCATCCCCTGCAAAAATTTAAGGTTGAAACTGTCGAACCAACAACTCAGAATTGCGATAGGACTTCGATTAAGATCAAAAATATGCGAACGGCATAAATGCGTGTGCGGAAAAGACGTTACCGAGGATGGTTGGCATGGTCTTTCTTGCCTCAAAAGTGCAGGGAGATTCTCTAGGCATTCAAACCTGAATGCCCTTATAAAGCAGAGTCTATCATCTACTCACATTCCGTCTGTTTTAGAACCACGACACCTCTACAGGACCGATCAGAAGCGACCAGACGGTTTGACGCTCGTTCCATGGGCTGATGGTAAGCAGCTCTTGTGGGATGTAACGGTAGTAGACTCCTTAGCTCCTTGTAGGATTAATGCCGGGTCTGTTTGTAACCCTGGTACGGCTGCCGCTGAAGCGGAAGAGCGAAAAATTGACAAATATAAAGATCTTGTAAATGATGGATATCTTTTTCAACCGCTAGCTTTTGAAATTCAGGGCGCGGCCGGCCCCAGCACAGAAGTTTTTTTGAGCAAGCTTTGTAAGAACCTAAGCATATGCACTGAGGAACCCAGAGTAGGCAGCTTTTTAAAACAGAGAATCTCCCTGGCAATATAGATTGCGAACGCCGCTTGCGTACTCGGAACAATAAATGACAAAATAACTTTCGACGAAATTTTTTACTTGTAACACTTGTATATTATATTATCTCGTGTCGAGTTGCGTGTTCTTATTGAAGAACCGTAACCCGTATCGATTTTAAATGAAAAGGACTTAAACACTTGACATCTTCTTTTATCATTATCACTTCCATATCTAGAAAATTCCAAGGATTTTGACTGGAATACATGATGAAGGGACTCATGACTGTAACCTCGGTTGCTATGATACTTTTGACCTTATCATAAAACACATTCAAGAAAACTAAATTGAGAACCCACGTGTCGGCACACTCGAGAATTAGAGGAAACTTAATTAGTGAGCAACTTGAGAATTAAGCATAATAACTTAAGAAGTTTGATACTAATAAATTTCAGCAAGGGAAATAAGTTTTGACTCTAGAATCGAAGTTTTGGTCTGAACTATTGGGACACCCCAGTTGTCCACCTTTCCACTGATGGTTCACTCTGGTTCAGCTCGGATGAATACGCTCTTCTTTCGCAATCGTTTCTTCTCCTATTTCAGGATAAGACGGCTCTACTCGCGCTTGATTTATATCTGGAAATTGCGAACAGCAATTTCCCCCTGTTTTATTCAAGTACTTTCCCGCGATTGTAAATTGGTCGTTCTGATCTTCTATTTCTGAGATTTTCAGTTTTCGCGAGAACGTTGAGCATGACAGGCTCAATTAGAATTTTTGAAAAATTAAATTTCCTCCCAAAATCACGTGGTTCGTATTGCTCAAGGTCAAACTTCCAAATATGACCGACTGGCACATACTCCCCGGACTCAAGATCGATGTCCTCATCGCGTGTTGCCGCCTGCCAGTGAGTCCCCAGAATACCGAGTGTTGCTCAAGATACAGTGCCAGTGGTCATTTACAGAAGTTTGCAGCAGAATTAAGTTTATCTACACCCAAAATTTCACCACTATATAAAATTGTCACACTATCGCTAAACAGCAATCAGAATTTTCATTTGCCTGCACCTTAAATATCCGCTTTTGAAGCTTGTGATTAAAATTTCTTTTGTCCTATCCGATCAGGAAATTATCATGCAACATTTTGATTGTAACAGTCGCCTACTTCGGTCACATATGAGGCTTAAGGAAAATAGGCCCTATAAACATTGGCTCAAGAGTCAGGGACACTATCTCTTGTGTTTTTCTACTTCAAAACGGTCGGAGCCAATTCGGTACGCTTGCGACTTCAGACTAGAACCCGTTACAGCAAGGGAAACCTGGTGGTTCCCGAAAAGGGGAGGAATACTTGAAATGTTTACCGGGGTAGCAATGGTTGCCCCGCGATAAAATGTCC